TTCTCTATAGCTGTCCTTCATCTTCTGTGTCAGCCTAACACTTCGACAAGAATGGCCGACCACACGAAGCCATCAGTTATGGCGTCAAGCCAGGAAGACAAACCTCGCAGAATCCGTTGTGAAGACCTGGCGCTGGTAGTCGCAGCAGGGTTCTATGCCACCACTGTACCGAGCTACGCATATGTTAATTACAAACTTGGGGATGCCTATGGTGGCGGTGGTGGATGCGGAGGTTGTGGAGGATGTGGAGGTTGTGGAGGATGTGGAGGTTGTGGTGGATGTGGTGGCTGTGGCTGTGGCTGTGGCTGTGGCTGTGGCTGTGGCTGTGGCTGAGGTTGTGGTTGTGGCTGTGGTGGCTGACGGGATTATGGCTTGCTTACTAACTAAATGAAAATAGAGAGATTTTTATGACCTGCCCTCACTGACATGAAACTGTGTTCTAATTTGAAAGTAAGAGAAATATCTTTAGAGAAGGGAACATGCCCGCATAAACCGAGTCTGGTGCATCTTTGGGTTTGCGCATAGTATTGAGTAATTTTCTTTAACCTCTGTGCCGTCATTTCCAAATAGGACTGTCACAATTACTTACTGAGGAACTTCGCCGTATTTCGGCGAGATTTTGCGAGTGTTTCTAGGGTACTCATAAGTTAGATGTATAAGTCAAAGATTTATAAGACTTAATTAATTGGATACAACGTTATTCTCTGGACATTAGCAAAAATATGATGTTGTAACATAAAATATCCACTTGTATCTCGATTTAATGGTAAAGTAGAGAACACACAAATATGTAATTTATAGTTGATTGTTACCCGATAGATGTTATGCTAACTTGTCGCTTAATCGAGAGTCGTGATTCACAAAGATAGAAAAAAAATTAATTCGAGAAGCACAAAGACATTTTTCTTGCTAGTTATTCACTAACGATTCATGGTTTTTCATGTAGTTTTACTATCCTTTACTTTATCAGTTAATAACAGTAGACGAATGTTTGACGCTGTCGCTGAAAATAAATCGAGGAAGACTGCGGTTATTTAGCGAAGTTTTACGCGATAAAATATTTTTTGGCTACATTTTTCGCCAGCATAGCACAATTGTTGCTTGGGATAATTTTTTCCTCGGACAAATATAATTCAGTTTTTACCTTCCAGGCTTCCCGGCAACCTGATCGATTGTTTCTCGTAAATATTTGATATGGATTAATATTCATGTCAGTTAAGTTCTTTTTTCGAGAGGATACCGGTATTTCGAAGTGGCTCCGCAACTCTCTCTAATAGTTCTTGTTTACTTTCTCTTGTTTTCTTTCTCTTTCTCAGTTAAAACTTCCCTCCATTGTTAATTTGATGGTTGTGTGAATAGATGTGGATAGCAGTAGATATGTAACGAATTTAGGAAAGTATACGACACTTTTAAAAAACATGTTTCGACAGTTCTTCTGTCATCTTAAGTTCTGTTTTATACAAAGTACAAAGTTGAATTCAAGGTGTATAAACCAATGCTGATTGGCCAAAACAAACAATAGAAACAGAACAATGTACGCATTTACAAGGAAATGTTAATTTAAAACTTTGCGGAACTAACGTAATATCTTAATGTTCTAAGAAATACCGAAGTCCATGGGAGGATTGCCAACCACAATATACCGAGTGGAAAGACTGGCGAAGGCTTTCAAGCAAGAAATATTTGATTTGGCTCATTTTGGAGGATAATTAGCTTGATAAGGTAGAATCAAATGCTGTTATTCAGCCATTCTTGTAACTTAGCATCTGACATTTGACTCACATCCAGCGCTTTTGAATAGTTTCGTCTCAGTACTATTTGGTTATTTTCTGTTACAAAATCAAGCTACATTTTTAAATACGTAAGAAGCCGCATGCTCCAACTTTCTTGCCAGGATAATACAGATAATACGAGGTCCCGATAATCGAGGTTAGACTGTAATAACTTCTATTCAAACTGCTAATTTTATTACTGACACAAAGTTTTTTGATAGAAAAAATAGGGTTGCCTTGTATGGAATATGGACACATGAAACACTCCTTAACAATGTATCCAAAGTCGTTATAACTTCACCCTTCGTCACGAATTGTCGACACTACGTTAAATGTTTCGATAAAATATTAAATGTAATGATCTAAAATGTTGAGTAAATAAAATGTCAGTTTTTTTCCTTTCGCGTCATTATAGTCAGATCATGATGCACGAACCTTGTATGATTCACATGCACGTGGTGCACAGCAAGGAATACCGCGTCCTTGACAGCCTGAGCTAACATCAAAAAGTACCACCTTGTTTATTATCAAATAAACAATTTAAAGAGATTTAATGAGTATTACATGCATTTTGCACCAATCTGCGATAAGCAGGAAAACAATTAGGGGCCAAAAAGACTGCAGAGCCTGACAAAAGCTGACTCATGGCCTTAATAGCTTAAATTGCTACGTAGACGATGACGGACCTTGATATCGAATAGTTAACGCTTGACAGAAAGTAATCAAGTCAGAGTTGGCGTTGTAAAGGCTGGAATCTATCTCAGCAAACTAAAGCTCAGGGAAAGAGATCCATTCAGGTAACTTGAAAACTTTATTTCTAACCTTTTTCTCGCTTATCGTTTTTCCTTCCATGCTTCCCGGAAACTTGAGTCAGTTATATCGAGTAATCGTTTGATATGGATAAGAGTTTATTTTAGTTAAGTGTCTGCTCAGGAGGGTATTTCAAAATGGCTCTTCGACTCTTTAAAGAACATCTCGTGCAGTTTCTCATAAAGAATGTTAGTTTTATCTGTATCACCTCGCATTTTTTTCACTTTTGCGCAAGTTAGTTTAGTTAGTTTCACGGGTCTCAATATCTGAGCATCTGTCCCTTTGGGTAAATACTTATGAATATGGAGTTCTCGTCATAGAATACATTTATTGAAATTAAATAATCCGAATTATCAAATGTGTCAACGTGCGTGCATATTAAAGACAACCATCTTGGACGAGGCGCTCTATCTCAATCGATTCGGAGACAAAAAAAGTTTCCAGTTCCTTTCAATATTGTTCTAAGAACATGTGAAATTTATAAAGAAAATGAGACATTGAAAGTCAATGCAGAGACATTAGAAAAACAAATTAAAGAGAGTTTAATAGGCTTGCAGATATCTGAGTAACGACTTGGAATTAAAACCGAACAATCCGTCTTCAAACATCTCATGGGGCACACTTCATGGCCTTCTCTGTATCGTTCAGCTCTTACTATTCATTGGCACTGCGTGGTTTTTACGACAAATAGAAAGCGGAAAAATTATACTTTGTCTGTGTTCAGCTCCTTGTGTTCTACAGTAAGAGTATCTTAAATAACCTGTAAACGCAGCCATTTTTCAAGTTTTTCCGTTGTTTATTTGAAGATTGTGAAAAAATTTGCAAAATAGGAGTTTGAAGGTTTTGGGAATTCGAAAATTGAGCAAAACAAGAGTGTATTTTCTCAGTCAGTTTACGTATCCGCTTAAGCTGAGTCATGCATTAAGTGGCTTGAGAGGGTGGGAAACAACGGCAGACATTGAGGGGTCTTTGGTAAAGCCGCATCTGTCACCTTGATAAAAGACTCCCATATGCCTACAAAAGACTTAATGTTTGATTTTATGGCTGACTAGTTTTTCGTATACTTTGAGTTTCTTGTCTCAGGAGAGATATTTTCATAGTAAGACCATACTTTGGTCTTCCAATTAGTTCATTCTGCAAACGAAAGGTAGATTTACAGTTTTAAAGAAGGTAAGCACTCAATCGAGTACGTGGCAGTATTAAAGACAAACTCCAATTTCCTTACGATATTGGTCTTGTGACATCATGTACTTTTGCGAATTATCAAGCCATCGAAGTAGAGGTTGGAAGAGTGATTTCGGAAATCTTAAGCGCTTAAAGCAAACTTAGAACATTTTTTGAGGGTAAAGGTATCACCTCCCCAAGTTGTTTCAGGAATAGCTAGAAAAAGTCACTTTTAGAGCAGCACGCTTCTTTGTATTAGCCATGTGTTTTGGTGCAGAAAAAGACACACTGTATCAACGTGAACACACCTCCATATCGAGTAACTCTAGTCAGAGTTAATAGTCAGTGGAAAGGCTAAGATTGTTTTAAGGAGGCTAAGATCAGGATAGAAACATAAATTTCGGTATGAAGACGTGTTCCTTTTTTTTTTTTTTTGACTTACTGTTATGAAACCTGATAACATCGATACAATTTAGAGGAAACTTCTGCTAACCGTTCAGCACCGTTTAGGATGAGAGGCTGATTATCATGTTAGTTGATTTGCTGTTCATGGGGATACTTTGAAAGGATTCCAGATTTTCTGAAGCCCTTCCTGATATGTTTCTTATGAAAAATATCAGGTTTGACCATAGCATCTTCACTTATGCTACATCTCTCATCTCTGTTCAAGAAACTTGTGTGGCTATCTTAGAATAGTTTGAACCTTTGGGTGATTGTTCCGTCGAGTCGTGTAGTTTGAATCTCTAACTTCTCGATAGGTCAAATCAAAAGGGCTAGGGAGGAAACCCTTCCTAATAAAGTAGGTGTAAACGTTGGAAATAGAATCCACTTTTTAAGGATATAGCCTAGTGAATCGACAAGATCGAGTCACGCCATTGCGAAGGTGATGTAGGAATACATGCAGTGATCTACGGTGCTTCCTCCCTAAGCCACGTCGATAGCGAGTGGTTAAAGCTCGACAGAAGAAAGTTACCGGCAGTTGATTGTGGAAAGGCCTGGATTATTTGCAGATAAAACTATGGCGCAGCTCAGTGCAATCTTAATTTGGATGAGGAAACGTTTGTCTTTTCATTGCCATCAGTTACTGATTTAACACCGATGTTTCTAGCAAACTTAATTCATGTATCTACCGCTTACTGTTGAAATCAGTTTGAACATCAAGTCAGTTAAGTTTCTTGTTACGAAGGTATTTCAAAAATATTTCCAGACTCTCCAAAGCACTTATAAGAATGTTTCTCATGCAAAATGATAATGGTTTGACAAAAGTATCTCGACTATAGCTACATCTGTCACCTAAATTTGCGCGAAATTTTACTGCGGCTGAATCATAATGCTCTGCATCTCAGAGTGATTGTTCGCTAGTTGAATGATTAAAATAATTAAAAATAGTTTTCCTCCTTTTTCTTGTATCTCTTTCAAGAATGAATTATTTAATTACCAGTTGTTGACTTGTGATTGCTCTAATTTTCATGCATATCCAAAAATTACATCTTTTGTCGACGTAACCTTAGGCTTCTTTTAATTTTCTCCCTATTTAGTAACCCTTCAAAGTAAGCCATGACGTTCTGTCCCGAGTTTCAATTCGGTATTGATTTAGTGGAAGCCGCTATTGCTCAACTCCAGTTCCTGCGGATTGTTGATGATTATCCAAGTTTATACGCCGGTCCACACGTTCGAAATGCAATCAGAAGGTATGCTCTGTTCCTTTCATTGACAGTACCAAACAAGAAATTCTTGAGAAGACTGATCGAATGCAATCAATTGTTTTTATTTCATGAAATCTACTGCTTCGCTATTTTCCCAGTAACAAAAACCCTCTTGCCTTAACTATTTTCTTTTCCTTTAGATATGAACTTTTCTGGCTGCCTTTGCTGGCTCAGAATGCCACTCGTATCAAGAAATGGTTTATTCCTTTGAACATCGCAGCACCACTTGACATCGCCTGGGTGTGGCATGTGCACATGCTGTCCCCTGTCAGTTACCAGAGGGACTGTAATGAAATTGTCGCCACTTTGGTGGATCATAAAATACTAGTCGGTGAGCAACGGTATAAAGGGCTTGTAAAGGCCAGGGCCCTATGGGAAAAGCTGTATCCTGAAGAACCTTTTGAAGTAGACCTGACAGCCCTTGTTTGCGACGTGCCAGATTTCCGATCAAGAATTGAGTATGACATCGAGGCTGCTTGTGCTCGACAGAGGGATTTTAATTATCAGGTGTCCTTACCTCATTTTGCGGACAAGAGATTTTTGACCGAAGCAGTGAAGAGGTATAAATTGCATCTTTATCTGAAGCAAAAAAATCCAGAATTGTTTTTTGTACCGTGCTATGACTTTGACCTTATTTGGCACGCACATCAGCTTAATCCATTAATCTACACACAAGACACCACGGAAATCCTAGGTAAAGTATTCAATCACAATGATTCAGTGAACGACCGACGGCCAGGCTCACAACTTTGCAAGTCTGAAACAGTAACACGAGAGAAATGGAAAAACCTGGGCCAGATATTTG